TTTTTTACCAAGTTTAGAAGGTAATATTTGACCATATATATATTAAATAAAATATATATGTAATAATCTTAATTAATATATAATAGTAATTATTTAAATTATAGAACTATTGAAAATATTGAAGGGTTAAAAGATAATGAAAATAGCGAGAATGATTTAGACGATTTATATCAAGATTACGAATTATATCTTACTAAAGTACTTAAAATCATTCAAGAGCAAAGATTAAAACAAAATTATAGATGGGCAAAATCTGTAAAAAGCAGCTTTGCAGGGTTACAAAAAATAGTAATGGATATTGAAGCATATAGGAGAAGAACAACAAATCCACGAATATGGAAAGATCATAACCACCATATGATATTTTTGAATAGAACTTAAAAATTACAGCAATCATTATTCAAATTCTTTAACTAGCTATAATGAATCTATTATGAAAGAAGTTACTAAAATATTTCTGTCGATTAACCTTTTCTTTGCTGAAGTTTAATTATGATATTATCAAAACTTTCAAATTAGCATCTTTTACAAGAATGGGGTTATTTCGAAAAAAGAAAAACAAAATCATACGTAAAGTATAAAAGTTATTAAATATATTCTATAAAAGTAAAAATAAAACTTTTATTTTCAATAGAGATATTGATAAATTACATATTTTACAATAATAAAATTAATGTACGTATTGTGAGCTTTTAAAATATACAGTATTATTTTTATCAGTATATCAATATTAAATGTTACACAAGATCTATATGATGGCAGAAATCGTCTGGGTGCCGTTGGGTAGTTTACTAAGGGCATCAGTACACGTGATTTTCCGAGCCAAAATTAGCCAATGAGAAGTCACGATAAGGTGTAACGAAAAAAATCAAAACAAACGCTCTTTTTGAAGAAATCGAGAATATCTCAGAGTTAAATCTAGAGATATTAGCAGTCCAGTCTGGTCCAACCTAATCTATTTTGGTCTAGTCTAGTCTGGTCTATTATAGTCTAAAGTTTTAGGACTATGTTGGTCCAGACCAGTCCAGACTGGTCTGGCCTTAAGACCAAGAGCGATCCAATTTTTTCAGATCCAAACCGGTCCTAAGGCCAATTGTGGTCCATTAGTCTAAGACCAGATCACACAACATCCCTAATTTAATCTAATTCACCACCTTCTGTGCTCTAATTAAAAAATAGAACAGCCTTTATAACTCTGAAATGAATTTCCATCAAACTAAAACCTTAACATAAACAAAATTCTAAGTTTTTCGAAGTTATCACGTGTTCGGAAAATCTATCCTAAGCTCTATCAATCAGGAATATACTATGTCCTTCTCCAACCCTAATCGTAACTCTAACAATAAGGTTTAATACTTTTTATCCCTGGCCAACCCCATCTATGTAACTTTTTCATGTGCTTAATTCTACGAGATCGATGTGTGGACAAAAAAATTTGGGCAAGTAGTCATGCTTAATCATTTTCCAATACGATTCAATAAGCATTGTCATACGTAATATACAAATTTCAGTTGAAATTAAAGAATGTGCCCAAAGAACCCACATATTTTTTTGATACCAGTAGGTCCACAAATAAGCCCATAAATATTTTAAATCATTATCG